GCCGCAAAGGAGGCTGCTGAGTAAGATAAGGGCCGATGGTGTTAGAGGCAAGGTACTAGCATGGATAGAAGATTGGCTGTCTGGCAGAAAGCAAAGAATGGGGATAAAAGGGTCCATCTCGGCAACCGGTGACTCGTGGTTTCAGCAGAGGTCAGTTTTGGAACCACAACTTTTCACTTCATAAATTAATGATCTAGATGAAGGAACTGTGGGCATTCTGGCTAAGTTTGCAGATGATACAAAGACAAGTAGAGAGACAGGTAATATTGAGGAGGTGAGGAGGCTGCAGAAGGATTTAGACAGGTTAGGAGAGTGGGCAAAGAAGTGGCAGATTGAATACAATATGGGAAAGTGTGAGATCATGCACTTTGTAGGAAGAACAGAGGAATAGACTATTTTCTAAATGGGGAGAAAATTCAGAAATCTGAAGTGCAAAGGGACTTGGGAGTCCTAGTCCAGGATTCTCTTAAGGTTAGCTTGCAGGTTAAGTCGGTAGTTAGCAAGGTAAGTACAATGTTGGCATTTATCTGGAGAGGACTTGAATATAAAAGCAGGGATGTATTTCTGAGCCTTTATAAGGCTCTGGTCAGATCACATTTTGAGTATTGTGAGCAATTCTGGGCCCCATATCTCAGGAAGGATCTACTGGCTCTGGAGCAGATCCAGAGGAGGTACTCAAGAAATGATCCCAGGAATGAAAGGCTTAACATATGAGGAATGTTGGAGGACTCTGGGTCTAAACTCAATGGAGTTTAGAAGGATGAGGGGGATTTAATTGAAATTTATAGAACACTGAAAGGCCTGGATAGAATAGACGTTGGCAAGATGTTTCTATTAACAGGAGAGACTAGGACTGAGAGCACAGCCTTACAGTAAAGGGAACACCCTTTAGAATGTAGATGAGGAGAAACTTCTTCGGCCAGAGAGTGGTGAATCTATAGAATTCATTGCCATAGAAACCTGTAGAGGCCAGATCATTCTGTCTATTTAAGACAGAGATAGATGGGTTCTTGATTGTTAAGGGGATAAAAGGTTACAGGAAGAAGGTGGGAGAATGGGACTGAGAAACTTATCAGCCATGATTCAATGACAGAGCAGACTCAGTGGGCTGAATAGCCTAATTTCTGCTCCTATGTCTTATTTCCTCATCTGCAGTTTCTTGTTTTATTAACATTTCAAGTCCAGCGTGACTAGATTTTCAGAATTTCTTCAGGTTCAAAAGATGCATAACGCTGGACTTGAAATGTTAACTTTCTCTCACACGTTCACTCTCTCTCCCTCCCCACTGGTGTTGCCGGACCTGCTGACCATCTCCAGCATTTGTCTGTTTTTATTTCAGAATGATTTCTTAGTCATTAAAAGTTTCAAGTGTAATCAGGCCAATTGACCTCATTGCTCATTGGTGATCTCAACTAAAACACAATGGAAAATCTCTTTCAGAGTTTTAATTGAACATCTGCGAAACAGTGGAAATGGAAAAGACCGTGAGACAGGTCTTTCAACAATGAGAAGTCACTGCCACTCAACTACTTGACAACAAATCCTCTCACCCCTTTCCTTATAAGGACTCTGTTCTGTCAGTTTCCCCTCATTATGTCACCTGTTCTTATGATGCTACTTCCAATTTCTGTGTTTTTGATATGTTCTCCTTTTCCCTGAACTCCCCTTCTCTATGATTAACAGGGGCTCAGCCATATCATCTAAATACCTGCTCTTACTCTATCTCCTTCCTTCCAGAACCATAATACTCAGTGTTCAGCTTCATTTTCCACTCCACAGGTCTCCATACTTATTGATCAGCTTCTAATCCTGCCCTCAACTCCAGCAGAATGAAAATACGTCGTCCTTCATTTCTCAACTTTCCAAAGGGACTGCTCCCAGCTAAAATGACCTTTCCACTTGTCTAGGCACCTTTCAGGGCAAGCCCAACAGATGGCACACCTGTTTTCTCCAGTTCGGGCTCAAACACATATTCCTGATGAAACAGTAATTCTTTCTATTTGAAATAAGGTATTCTTTGCACACAACACCGACTCCTGTATGTTGGGCAGATCGAATGCAGGTTCAGTGATCACTTCGAGGTGTGACCTGGAGCTTCCAGTTGCCTGTCGTTTTAACTTTCTGCCCTCTTTGTCCTCGTCCTCCAATACTGTTCCAATGAAGTCCTAGGATTGGTACCTTGTCTTTTAATTGGGCGTATTGGAACACGTTTATACTCTACAATGTGTTCAACAATTACAGATCATAACCACTGCTCTCATTTCTTCGGTATGGAGGTGTCGGTGTTGGACTGGGGTGGCCAAAGTCAGAAGTCGCACGACACCAAGTTATAGTCCAACAGGTTTATTTGAAATCGCGAGCTTTCAGAGTGCAGCCTCTTCATCAGGCCCAGTTCACAAACATTCTGTCAAATGTAGTTATCAATATTGTGATACATGCCATTTTTAATCCATAATGGAATATGAAGCTATGTGATATAATAAATCCAAAATATTTCCTTTATCTGTGAGGTCCAATCCATGATCTCATGGTCCAGAATGACTTCTTGTCATTGATAATGGCAGTTTATTTCCCATACCATTACAGTTTCAGTTAACTGACTGAATGTATTCCTTATCCCCTGCTCAGCTAGAGATCTACATTTTGGAAACAAGTCTTTCGGCCCAACTTGCCCATACTGCCCAGTTTTCACAATTTAAGCTAATCCTGTTTGCCTGCATTTGGCCCCTGTCGTTCCATATCTATTCCATCCATTTACCTGTCCAAATGTTTCTTTAAATTTTATTCGCCTCCACTACTACCTCGGACAGCCCTTTCCAGACAGTTAACACTCTGTGTGTGTGTGGAAAAAATTATCCGTCTGGACCCTTTGTATCTGTCCCCTCTCACCGTAAACCTATGCCCTCGAGTTTTAGACTCCCCTACCGTGAGGAAAAGCTGTTGGCTTTCTACCTTATCTCTGCCTCTCATGATTTTATATAGCTCTATAACATCACCCCTCAATCTCCTACACTTGAATGAAAAAAGTTCCAGTCTATCCAACCTCTCCTTATAACTCAAACCTTCCAGTCCAGGAAGAATCCCAGTAAATCTTTTCTGCACTCTTTCCACTTTAATAATATCCTTTCTACAGTAGGGCAACCGGAACTGCATGCAGTATTCCAAATATGGCCTCACCAAATCTTGTACAGCTGAAATAAGACATCCCAATTCCTATACTCAAGGCTCTGAGCAATGAAAGCCAGCATACCAAAATACTCCTTCATGTCCTGTCTACCTGTGACTCCATTTATGAAGGAGCAGCTTTTTGAAAGCTTGTGATTTCAAATAAACCTGTTGGACTATAACCTGGTGTCGTGTGATTTCTGAATTTGTCCACATTTCTTTGGAGAGCACCTTTAGGTGATGAAGATTCTGCTGTTCCCATTAGCATCTCGTCTAGTGAGACCATCTTTTGTTTTTCTTAGCTTCATCATTCCCATTACCTTTTGCCTCACAGCATCATTGCATTTTCCATAGAATCCCTACAATGTGGAAACGGGCCATTTGGCCCAACAAGTCTACACCGACTCACCCCCCACCCCCTCAGCCTGTTCCCGTAACCCTACATTTTCCATGGCTCATCCATCTAACCTACACATCTCTGAACACTACGGGCAATTTAGCATGGCCAAACCACCTAGCCTGCACGTCTTTGGACTGTAGGAGGAAACCAGAACACCCAATGGAAACCCACACAGACATGGGGAGAATGTGCAAACTTCACACAGACAGTCGCCCAAGGGTGGAATTCTGTTCTTACCCTCTTTCCCACCTTTCCCTTCTTTTCTAATTGATCAAAACCCCTTAGATCTCTAATTTTTCCAATTCTGATAAACTATCATCAACCAGAGACATTAGCTGTATGTCTCTCTCTCTCTCTCTCTCTCTCAGCAGATGATGCCTGACCTGCAGAGTATTTCTAGAAATTTTTATTTCCTGCCTGAGATTTCCAGCATCCATAGCATTTTGCTTTTGCATTTGGGCCCTGTTTGACAGCTGGTGTTGGTACCTGAGTCTTGGCCCAGTGTAGATAGCCTCAGGAATTCATTCTCCTAAAATTTGAGAAACAAATTTATTCTTTAAAAATCACTTTGCAAGGTCAAATGATGTATCAAGATGACATTGTGAAAAAAAGCTACAAGCCCCTTTAACAATAATTCCTGGTATACTTAATATATTTTCTAGCCCTCAAAAGGAAATAAGGAAATGAGAGTGATTTGTTTTGATCTTTTAAGCTATCTTATTGCAACCAGTTCATGCTTTACCCTTTTTCAATGCTATGCATGGAGGCAAAAAAAGAGAATATTTTATAACTTTGTAACACACAAAGTATTTCTAACTGAATCCTCCAGTTGAGGACAATTTTAAGATGTAGGCAGCTAATTTACTGTAAATGCTTGGTTTAATTTTTAAACGCTAAGAGATTCTGCGTCACTGTTGAATTGCCACCTCACAGTATAACTATATCTTGATATCACTAGTGTTTTGAGAAGGTCACACATTTAACCCATGACCCTGTTCACACGTCCTGATGTGTGAATACATTGAGTCATTTTCTTCCATTGCTTGTGTCGAGTGACTGACTAGGCAAATGGGAGGAAGGTATGTGGGTGACCACCACAAAATCCACTCAATTCACTAAAATTTTCCAGTAATGCTAGACTGATAGCCTTAGCAGAGCAGATATCATTTCTGAAGAGAGAAGCAGAATTAACAGTTCAGTTCATTGACCTTTGTTAGAATGCTACAGATCTTGGCAGACCTGTTGAGAATTTCCAGCATTTTCTGTTCCTTTTTCAGAATCTCTAGGCTGTCATTATGTGGACCACTATCCAAATGGCTTTCTTTTGAATGCTGAAGTACAATGTTTTGCTATGATAGTAAAGCTTGTCAACAGTTTTAAGCTAAATACTAATGTGCACATGAGGACCACAACCAATAGTATTTTTCTTTCACAGACTAAACCCTTTAATGTGATTGAGCGTTATTTCCAGGAAGTGGTTACTATCACAGAGCAGTCTTGTTTCTCGTCAGAGGAGGTGACTGGAGCACAGAAGAAACATATTAGCAAGTTGCAGCAACTTTACCAAACAATAATGAGCTCTGCACACCAAGGTAGGCAAGGACTAATAGTTAATCCAATATACCATCTGATAGACTTCATTGAAGAATATGCCTACAAATGGAAAGAAAAAAGGTGATTGCGAAAAAAATTTTCACGTGTAATTCCCTGACTACTTTAGTAATTTGAGGCACACTGAATTTACCAACTGCAGTAAGTTGTGCAATGATACGATGCACATTTCTTCCCAATGTGATAAAATCTCTGGCAAGATTTTTTTTAGGGGAGTATTAAAGGAAGTTTATCATTCTCTCAGAGAGGGTATTGAATCCATGTCCCTCTTAAGCACCAAGTAGAATTAGATAGAGTAGTGTAAGCAGAAGCCTTGATTTCAGGTAGTCTGCCCAAATTGTGATGTGTTAATAATGATGCCTAAAATGCATCAGTTTAAAAATTATCAGAATTTGCTGGAATGGCCACAGACTTAACCAACACAGACTGACAACTTCCAGGAATTCTGGAATGACTTAATAGAACGCAGCTTATGCAAACTCCTATGTAGCCTTGATGTCACAAAAGGATAAACTGAAAAGAGACTCAAAAGCTGGAGTTTCTAACACCTGGAGTTATTGAAAGTGCTGTAAGGCAGCAGTGCAAACCACCATGCTGTCTATGATTTACTTAACTGTAGCAATGTCTTTCTACACGCAAAAATGGATAGCTTCATTAACAGAAGAGTTGCAAATGGTGCTGATCAATGTTCAAGTCATCAGGGAACATCTCCATTTCTGACCTCATGAGCTGTTGATGAAGTATCTGACGAGGACACGACCCTGAGGAACTCGTGTTGTGATGTACTGGGGCTGAGGTGATTGACCTCCAATGACCACAGACACATTCCTTTTGTGCCAGGATTGACTCCAGCCAGTGAATAGTTTACCCTGATTCCCATTGACTTCAGTTTTATTATGGTGCTTCGACACTGTATTCGATCAAATGCTCCCTGAGATGGGGCATCCATGTGAAACTTTATGGCTGAAGATAGCACAAATGCTTCAAGCCTAACAATCTTTTGCACTGACATGTTTGGCTCCCTGACCATTCAAGATAGGTATGTTCCTCTCGTGCATACATAGGAACACAGGAACAGGTGTAGGCCGTTCAGGCCCTAGAGGTTGTGTCACCATTCAATGAGATCATGGTTGATCTGTGGCCTAACTTCATATACCTGCCTTTGGCCCGTTATCCCTTAGTAGCTCTACTGAACAAAAATTTATCAATCTCAGATTTAACATTAACAATTCATCCTGCATCCACTGTTATTTGCAGAAGAATTCCAAACATCTACTACCCTTTTGAGTTTAAAAGTGCTTCCTAACAACGCTCAACTGTCTGGCCCTAATTCTCAGCCTCAAAGTTCTAGAATCCCCAACCAGTGGAAATAGTCTTTTTGTTTTATCAACCCTACCTTTTTCTGTTCCCCTTGTTGTTTAATTGTCTGCTACCATTTGCAACTGGTTGTGGTAGGAGCACTGTAGAACTTTTACTGTGCCTACGTAGGGATAATCACTTAATTATGTTAAGTATTCATATGCTTAAATGTAATTATTTAAGATAGAAACTTCATTTAGATTGTTTTATTACATAGCCTGCTTTCATCATATCAGTTTAGTTGTTTCTTTGGAACATAGGGTATTAAAGCAGTATTTCATTGATGTATTTTAGTGCTTCCTACAAAAGACAAGCTGCAGAACATTCTACTGCCAAATCCAGATATCAGCTTTTTCATCTGGAAGGAGGATGACCTACTCTGTGAGTGTATTTTGTTCTAATGCTATAAAGTCTCTAATTTGTGTGTAGTTTGCATGAAATCATTTCTTTAACAAAATTCAGAACTGATGTGCACTATTTCCATTTACAACTTTTCAAATAAGAAAATGTTTACAGTGTAGCCATTAAAATTGTCCTTTCTGGAACAGAGAAAGGAATATCTTTAACTTTTTATTTTATAAGTGTAGGGCAAATGTTTGATAAACTTGTCTCAGAATTTGTCAAATTAGTAAACTCAAGTTAACATAATGACTCACCATAATGATGACCATTTGGCAAACAAGAATATCTCAAGATTGATTTTAAAATTTACAGTGGATTAGCCATCAGTTGGCATTTCCAATCCTTCGCCAATAGAAGTGATGCTCACTCCTGAAATGTCTGGCTCTACTTTTTTTGTCTATGCCCCTCATCCTAGAGTCTCCAGATAGTAAGAATATTTTCTGTTTAATCTATTTGGCCCATTAATATCTTGAAATTTTGAAGAAATTGCAACAATGCTTGAATCTGTTGTGACATCAAGTTTTAAAAATCACTTTCAGTAGATAGCATCATGATTTAGGAACATGCACTCCATTATAGATAGTTTAAGAGTGGCTATCGTTACACAGAGCGTGCATTCCCAATGCATGGTACTATTATATTTGGTTTAAAAATGACTATTAGTAGACAATGTGTGTATGCCAGTACACCATGCTATGAAAGAGGAGCCATTTGCACATGTAGGGAGTCCTGATGTTATCACTCTTTCATTCCAGGAACCTCTGTTGCTAGTGTCCACCTGCACATGTGCAGATGACATTGCTTTTAATCAAGAGTGAGCTGAAATTCTGTGTTAATAATCATCAAACAGGAAGCGTGGGGCAATGAATGCGAAGTATATCAGTCTGTAATATAGATTTGGGCTTCATAGTCACAAACAACTTACTTGTGACCCTGCCCCACTGGAAGGCTGAGGCTTTTCAATTTCTGTCTTAATCCTAATTAACTTAATACTAAACAGGAACAGAGATTTTGCTAGCTGAGAAAGATCCAACTATCATTTATCTTTCTACCATCTTAGTACTTGCAAGATGCGATAGTGGAGTTATTAACTAATTCTAAGGATAATGATATGATACTAACTGCTATGGGGTTGCTGAGTAGGATTTAATTTCACATTATAATAGAATAATTCCTTCATGATTAATCTGTGCAAGTGCTCCACCTAATGGTAGCATTGTCCTTAAACACAGCCATAAACTACATCTGATCACTATGTTAGCACATTAGCAATATTAGAAAGTCAATCTGCTTCTTAAATCCTCCTCCACCAATTCCCCAAATTGAAGCAATGCTGTCCCTTATAAACTCCACAAGTTAAGGGTAATCAGTGAGTGCTGTAAGTTTTAAGCCCTTCCATCAAAAGACGCATTACCAGTGTTAAACCAATTAAGGCCATCTTAGATGCAAATTAAAGGCTTTTTTAAGCACGGAGCCCCTCTTGTGCTACATGCGCAGGTCATTGGTTGTATCTGCAAGCTGCCAGGTTAGGTTCAGTGAATGTGGATTAGGAAGTTATTATCAAGGAGGACTGGCCTGATGTCAGCAGGATAAAGGTGAAACAGCAAGCCTGTGTTCAGCCACAGATAAAAGCTTGCACTTGCAGGAGCACTTCTTTTAACCAAAAGTCGCTAATTTCACCGGGAATTCTGGGCAACTTATTGCAAGTGCTTTGGATTCCTCTGAGGGCAATCCCATCATGTGAGACTTCCCTCTGCATTTCCTGAACTTGGTTGAACTCTGAGGAGGAGGTACAGCCTCCTCCAGCTCTGCAGTGACACCAGGAGAGGCAGCAACATCAGTAGTTAACAGCCTTCTGCTCAGTCGCATACACCTGGATGGAACAGAGGGTATGGGCACGGGATTGCATCTCAATTCCCCCAGTGCAGACGGTACAGCAAAGCCTCCAAACAGTTTTGTTTCCAAAGTTCCAACTCTTGCAGCCCACTGCGGCTTCTTTACAAAAAAAAAACTGTCGAAGAGGAGCGGTGAGATCCCCCGTTGTCTGTGGCTGCCATGGTGATTACAGATCTGAATTTTTGTAAATCCGTGTTGTTTCAGGGCTCAGCTGCTGACATCTCTAAGACCTCACAATCTGGTGACCATAATGGCATTAACCAGGTCACCATTCCTTGGTTATGTGAGCCTCCAACAATATCAACTTTGAGACTGAAAAGGCCTGTCAAACCCAGGGGATTTCTATAGGTCCAGGCAGTTGTACATAGCACTTTAGTTGTCAGATGGGTGCAATAAGAATAGCCAGATGTAATTGTAAATCAGAAGAAAATGCATTCCTTTAATGTATAACTAGCCTATGACATCATTGAATAATGCAAGTGTGCATCAAGTAACCCAGGAGCTGTCATGACCTGTTCACCCTTTGGCATTCTCACGTTCTGCAGCTCTTCTCTTGACCAGACTGTCTCAGCTGCTGGCTTCTGGGTATCCCAGACACGACTCAAATCGTTGATGTGCAGGTCTTTGTTGTGGGCCTATTGTACACCCATTACCTACTGTCTACAAGTTTGGCCACTCTTTCTCCATGGTGGCACAGTGGCTCAGTGGATAGCACTGCTGCTTCACAGTGCCAAGCACCCAGGTTCGATTCCAGCCTCGGGTGACAATCTGTGTGGAGTTTGCACATTCTCCCCATGTCTGCATGGGTTTCCTCCAGGTGCTCTGGTTTCCTCCCACGGTCCCAAAATGTGCAGGTTAGGTGGATTGGCCATGCTAAATTGCCCATAGTGGGTCTGTGTGAGATGCTCTTCAGAGGGTCGGTGTGGACTTGATGGGCCAAATGGCCTGCTTCCACACTGTGGGGATTCTATGATTCAATGAAGGTGTCTCTGCAACAAGTCCTGTGAAAGTGGAGTAGCCTTTCTTGTGCGCCTGGAATAAACTGTCCACATCTTGCAATTATGCAAAAAAGTGGGAAGAGAAACCACTTTACACCTTCACTGGTGAAAGATAGATTGATTTCTCTTCACTCCCAAACTGTTTTATATTGCTTGCCAATTGCAGTTTGGCTTTATGTATTCTGCTGTTCATTTTAACATCTATCTGAACTGCTCTAAATCACTATATGATAGGTCTGTACCTCAACTGCTACGGTGTATTGCAATATACAGTTGGAAATGGATCTTGTAGGACATGATTAATAGCAAGTTAATAGCCCAGCCTGCAGCCCAGCGCAGTAAATTGTTCTTTTCAGCTCAGTAGGGGATATCTTTTTTTCTTTTCGCCAATCCAAAATTCATGGCTGTTCCATTTAAGTAGTTGTATCTCTTGCCTCCTATCCTGATTAGGACGTAGTAAATAATACTTTACTAAAGATTAGTTGGATGAATTTTTGTGTAAAGACATTTTGATCAAAATATTCATTACCACCTATAAAACAAATATTTTTCCCATTTTGCTCTTTGCAAACCAGTCATCATTCTCTAACTTAACAAGTCAAGTGACCGCTCTTAGGTTTCTGCCAATGTGCCGTAACTGCATGAGAAAAGGTTGATGAGTCTGAGGTATTCTGATTCCCATGCTGTTCACTGAAGTAGCTTGTTAATGCTTAATTACCTCCTGATTCTGGGGTCTTGGATTTGGTATTCCAATTAAGGAATTGCTTCTGATTGCATACAAAAAATAGTGAACTGAATTTTCTCAGAATTGCTAGTTTGCCATTTCTAAATTCTGCTTTAAATCTGAGTTAGGTAACAGAAGTAGTTGAGAATAAGGCAGCAAGATCTGTAGAAAAGGTTAATCCTTCATAAATTGGATGTACGTAAATGTCTTGATCTTTGTCATCATAGGTTTTGATGCCTTGATGTCCTGCTACTTGGCTTAAAATTGTACCCAATCTGTGCCAACTGTCATTTGTAGATAGTTAGAATGGCACAGCATAGCTCATCTATCCTGGGATAGAGGCTTAATGGAATTGACCTGAAAGTTAGAGACAGACATCATGGAAACTTTCAGTCATTATTGCCAACTTTGGATCTCTGTCAAATTTATATGATTCACACTTGTGTCACTATACACTGCTTTGGTAGGTTCATGTACTAACAATGGCCCTAAAGTCATTCAGTTGAGTGAATTTAAGGGTGTGTGACTGAACACTCCAGTCTGTCTTCTTCAGGAGCGAAGGTATTTGTATCAGCTGCAAGTCCTCTACAGACTTCTGAACATGACATCCCATAAGAATTAGTGTTGTTTAATTTGGCCTTGCGTGTTTATGGCATGAACATAATGAACATAGAAGTTACCACAACAGCATGTTAGCACTCGGCATTTTTCAGTCCATATACAATAGCAGCAGTGATGTCTCTCAAAACTCTTCTACCCTTTATGGAACACTTGCTAAAATAAAATATGGGATTTTTTATATCTGTAGAAATTGAGATAATAAGCTGAACTTCACAAGCTGGACTTAGTTAAGCTGTGGGAAATTTGAACATAAACCAATAATAGTTTGCCCAGTTTTGACTTATTCCCAGCAAAGAAAAAATTAATTTTCTGAGAGCTTGTAAGAATCTGTCCACGTTATGCTTATATTTTGCCTGTGACCTGTATTGCTATTTAATATACACATCAACGTATATGTCGGTGACATATGTAGCATGTTGTGCATTTTGCCCACTGTTTTCCCTGTGGTTCATGTTGTGTTTTTTTTCAGGGAAGGAGCTGGTGCAATTTGTTAAAAGTCGATGTGGCAGTAGCCAGGACTTCATGCACAGTGATTCTGACAATTCTGAACTGAGTGAGACAATAGACAGTCTTAACATTGAGCAAACAAGATTATCAGTTCTGTCAAATGACAGTGGTATTGTCAAAGACTGTGGGGATCTCCCTCTTTCAAATGATGTGCCAGCTGCAGGGGCCAATGAGAAAGAGCAGACCAAGTTTGTCAGAAAAGCCTGCATAAAGAAGAAGAGCTATGATTCAAATAACACACTGAACATTTCAGATATTTATGATAATTCTACAACAGGAGGTAATATGAAACTTCAACGGAAGTTTGGTTGCAATACAATGCTGTTCAACTTCAAGCAACAGAAACCTAACACTGCACGTGTTGTAGTGCTTGGGAATGATTGCATTTTGGGAAGATTAGCGAAGGCTTTTCTTTCTATCAGGTATTTTATTTTTTAACACTTACTCAGAGTTTAAATAAACAATTTTCAAAATAAGGAAAGTTCCCCTCTTTAAATGACATTCAATACTGCAAATTGTTTGATTCTCCTCCATATTTTCCTGTTAAATTTTTGTGATTAACTAAAGCAGTAGCATATTATTTTATAAGCTAACGATTACTGCTGCTCCTCCTTTTAGACAGAGAAGTATTTTAACCTCTGCATTTCTTCTTCAACCGTTGCATTGTGCTAGATTGCATTCTTTAACCTTGTGATGACACCCTGTACTTGATACAGTTGACAATGAATGAAAGTGGACTATTTAACAGAAGTGAGCATCACAGATCACCTTGTTTCTGATTTTACTGATGTCCAAACATGTGCACTGAGTCTATGTGAAGTCTTTAGTGAATGGAACTAATTCAGATTTTGTTGTTTTGTAAGCTTTACGCTTTCCTAACATAGGGTCACTAAAGTAAGTCCCTTTGGGTATCACCTTAACTAAGACATAATATTATTTAAAGTACATTTGTGTCTGCTTGTAGCAGACCTACCGTAGGTATGATTTAATCCTGTGTGAAATTGCAAAATACTCAGAATTTCAAGATACCGGTTCAATAGAGCTAGAAATAAACCAGTGTTGGATCCAGATATTGTCAATCAACCTGTTCAGACATGTTATGACACACCTCTGAAGCAGATAGGACTTGAACCGCGGTCCTCTAACCCAGAGGTAGGGACACTACCAACACCTGTCATCTTAAAGTCCTGAATATGCTGTGAATCAGAAATGTGACGGATTTGTTAAGCTTCCCTTTTAATATTGTTACTGTTATAATCATCTTGACAATGAAATTATAGTGTTTCCTTTCCTAAAGGCATCTTGAATTCTTTAAAGATTTCAAATGAAACTTCAATTTTGATTGTGCTCGTATTCTTTTGTGGAAATGTATCAGAAATTTAGCTGTTTCTTCTTTAGTTTCCGTTTATGTACATGGATGATCCAAAGTTTGCATAGTTTCATGATCTGAGGCTGACAAACAATTGCTTTAAAAGTTTTTTCAAAGTAATAGAAATATAGTTTAAATAGAAACATCAATAAAACTGCAGTCTAAACTGCAATCACGAATAGTGGACTTAAAATAATGACCAAGTATTTTACTTCAATTTCATTACTTAGGAAAAGAGAAACGAGAAGGTGTATTCTGACCTCAAAACTAAACCTGCAGTTCTACTACATCCCAGTTAAAAATGAAGAGCAGACCCCAGTGTCTACCAGCAAGGTATGTCTGAGCTGTATTTCAATTAGTACTTTCTGCAGTTGACTCTATGGAATATTAATTTTATTCTTTGTTTGTTTATCAGATCTGCTTTTTTCCTGCTAACTACGTGAGACATACAATTAACCTTGAACAAATCAGAATAAGTTGCAAAATAGTTGTATTGAATCCCTTTGAGATATTTGAAAGATGCTATATAATTGACTTATTATCAATTGATTTACAATGTTAGTGTTAAAATGTTTTGCTTAGTAGTGTACGAATTAAGTTCTCTGTTTGAATGAGAGATTAAGCCTCTTAATATTCTAAAATCATTGAAGAAATATTGCAGCAGACTTGAAATAGTTAATGTGAACTGTATTCAGGACAATAACTCCATAACCAGAGTTACTCTTAACTACTGTTTAAAAAGTAGAAATTCTGTCAGTATCTGCAGTCAGATAGTAGTGAACATATTTCTGAATACTTTGTTTTTAGGTCATCCCTTTATTGCACAATGACTTTTCTTGTGAAATGTCCAGGTATTTGGGTAGCATAGACCCCTGGTATAACAGCAATATCAACAGCCTGCGTGACATGATACCTGAACTAGCCAGAACGGTAAGAACACTTCCAATTACATCCTTATTATTATGCGCTGTATAACAGATATGATTGTAGTAAAAGGAATGTCATAGGCTACCTGTCACTTCTATATTATTGGATATTTAATTGTATTCAGGAATTATGCATTAACCCCTGTTAATGACTCAACTGTACTCATGTATAGAAGCAGTGATGACTTTATGGTTGAGTGGTTTAAGGCTGAGATCGACAGACAGATAAATTCTTGATCATTAAGGGAATCGAGGGTTACGAGAAAAACGCAGGAAAGTGGACAGGAGAAATGTCGGATCAGACATAATCCTGTTGAATGTCAGAGCAAAGGGCTGAATGGCCTACTCCTATGCCTATTTCTTATGGTGGTACCCTACCCCTCGGTCTGAAGACCAGAGTTCAAATCCCATTTGCTCTAGAGATGTGTCATAACTTTTCCAAAGAGGTTAATTTTAAACATATTATGCAGGAGCAGGTAGAAACTGGTTGTTGTTTGGAGGTGCACAATGTTGACTGTGTGTGTCTCTGAACAAAATCTTTGTACTTGTGTTAAAACTAGGCTCTGATCCTATTCTTCACCACCTAGATATTCATATTTACTAGGCATAGGACTACCTGCATGTTGCCACAGTGGCCCAGATATTCTGATCAGGGTCGGATGCTCTATTTCTGACCCCAAACGATTAAAAATTACCCACTTGCCCTTTCGATGATTTCTATGGTGGAGATTCCTGGATAGGGCCCCCTGTTACAAACCTGTCCATGACTGGATGAATCCAGGAGTAGAGAGGATCTCTGTAGAAACCCCATCATTATTGTGCTGTAAACTGTGATCTAATTGTCCAGCAGTACAGCCTCTAACTTTTCATGAGTTACTATTAGCTTTATTGAATCAGAACCCTCTGAATTTCCAAACTTTAGTGGACTCTTTAAAAGACTCCAGACACTGGGGAATTGCCCATCAGAAAATTTAATTTCCTGGGTACATCCCATGGAGTCCGCTGCACATCAAGTATTCCACATGGAATTCCAATCTATTCTGCTCCCATGATTCTCTGCCTATTGGAACATCTGGCCGTTCTTTTCCCCTCTTATGGAAATAGCCTTTGGAGCAGCAACCTCTGAAATATCATCGAAATGTGGAGTCTGCTCTTGTACTTGGTTCTAAAATCAGCAAACTCTATTCTAAATTAATCATATTACAATACATTGCAGTGAATTTGTGAGAAAAAATTAAGTGAAATTGTCAATACTTTTCAAACCAGTTGTCATAGCTGAGAAATGATCAAGGAAAGTAATTAAGGCAGTTATGTAAACCATTCATTTCCAAATATTGAAAGTGATTTCTAGTTTATAATAATTTAAAACTGTTTCATCATTTTCATGTATTGCTGGTTCCGAATGTACTAATGTAATGTAATGTAAACTACTATGGAATTAAATCACACTACAATTTTTGCTGATAAACACCTTAATCTATTATCATGAAATTACTCTTCTTTTAAGGTAAACTTGCATCAAACTATCATGCTGAAAAAACATCGTATTTTGCCAGATCTGTTCCTCCCCAGTTAATTACAAATACTTTATTTATAGCATTTAAGATACTGTTAAAAGCCTGCATTGCTTAACATCTTCTACATCAGCAGACTATCAAGATTGTGGCAGTGGATTAAACAGCATCCAGACTCTGATGGCTCATCTGCTCTGTCTGCATTTTTCTTTTTTCTTCTTCCTTCCTTTATTCTTCTTTAAGTTATAATCAGCTTGCAGAACTTTGAGTGAGCAAATATCTTTACCTGCAATGCAGAGGTGACGAAGGAACAGTTGTTCCGCTGTGACCTTTACAGCATGCTAATGTTCAAACCCAGGATGGTACACACGAGTATTCAGCCTCAACAGCACACACTAGTAGAGTTGAAACTGACTTTTTAACCCTGCCCAAGTGTATTATTCAAAGGAAAACTGAAAATGTGCTGAAGATTGGACCTGATCTACAAGAAATAGCTTGCTATTGAACAGGGGCTCATCAGACCCTTATTATCTTTTTAGTAAAAAGTTTATGATAGTCCAGCCTGCTTTGATTTGTCTCTTTCTCATTTGAAGGGCTGCTTGAAGTTCTTTTCAAATTCTGTGTATCTCTATTTCTAGGGAGCCCCTTCATTTGCATCCACAGCCATATTTGGCTGTGTCAGTTCTCTTTTGGAAAATACATTTTGGAATTACTAGTTAAAAATGTCCACAGTACTTTGGGGTTCTAATATATGGTCATGACAGTATAGAAAAACAATGCTATGTTGACAAATGTCTAGATAGAAACAGATGTGGTGAAAGTATGTTTTGTGATTAAATTTAATATGAAATCATTTAGTCTGGTTATTCAATGGTCCTAAATAAAATGATGGATTTTGAATGTGTGTTGATTGGTCCATACATTGACCCCTGCGTGGCTGGGAAATGGCAGGTGAGAACTGGGAATTCAGTTACTGTTTTCAATTAAGACTAGAACCTTGACTCGCAGGAAAGAACTGTGGAGCTGAAAAGGATGCAAAAGAAGATAATGTAAACATACACATAACCAAATAGAGGGGAGTGGTACATGAGTAGCTTCAAAAGTAAAGACTATAACCTGAAACGTATGTCAAGACTTTAAGAATGGAATTGAGCTGAAAGAAGGGATTGTTTTATGGGGCTGCTCTCATCTGGAAATATTTGTATTGCTTGCACAGTCTCTTGCAGGTAATATCTGTGAGTGCATTTTCTGCATGACTTGAGCTATATTTTTAATCAGCCCTCATAGGTGAAATGAATACTGAACATAAAAATCACACTCCTGGACTTCACTATTTAAGTGAATAGATTCTCAACGGTTGAAATTACAATGTATAACGTTATTCTTCAGTATTGATGCTTTCTCAATAAGTTTCTTTGTTCATTATTCTATCAAAGGCACAGACAATTTCAATAATGTATTAATAAAAGGTGTTAAAACAACAAAGGAATTTAACATGAATATATTAACATTGTCTCCTAATGTGTAGGATTATTTCAATCCCTTTGTTATCACAGATCCTCTTATTTTGTGTTAGACAAACAGGAGGCTGGAAGAATACAGCAGGCCAGGCAGCATCTGGAGGAAAGGAGTAGTCAATGCTTCAAATATTACCTTCCTTGAGGACTCCAATCTGAAAAAGGGTTATACCCGAAACATTGACAGCAATTGCTCATTGCTAACAAGCCAATGGTTTCAATTACCACCTTTTCTGAAAGATGAGCTATTTCTTTAGCTGCTGCTCTACAGAAATTCCCACCATAGTTAAATGTATTTTTGTAATACATAAAACAATCTAACGAAACCTGACTAAACACACAAAATAAGAAGTAGAGACAAACAAATCTGCAGATGCTGGAATCCAATCTGGAGGTACGGAGTAGTCAATGCTTCAAATGTTACCTTCCTTGAGGACTCCAATCTGAAAAAGGGTTATACCCGAAACATTGACTGTTCCTTTCCTCCAGATTGGATTCCAGCATCTGCAGATTTGTTTGTCTCTACTTCTTATTTTGTGTGTTTAGTCAGGTTTCGTTAGATTGTTTTATGTATTACAAAAATACATTTAACTATGGTGGGAATTTCTGTAGAGCAGCAGCTAAAGAAATAGCTCATCTTTCAGAAAAGGTGGTAATTGAAACCATTGGCTTGTTAGCAATGAGCAATTGCTGTCTATCTCTATGTAGTTAACTTTGTGGCAGTGAAAACAGCTCACAAATAACAGTAAAACTCTGGTGCGGAGGAAAGTAACATTCTAATACAAATGATGTCTGTAGAAGGTTAACAGCAATACAACAATAATCCAAAGCCCTGATATAAGTGTTGACCTTGTAATATGTGATAATCTTTGAAAAATAACCAATTAAAGGTTGTTTTTCCATTTCCAGCCAGTTGGTAAACTAACAGATTTAATGCTTTTCACAGTCACCACCATCTGGACAACAGTCCAGTGCAGACCCATTTATTGTGGATGTTACCTCATACTATGTACGAATGGGATATCAGCCTGTTTGCTTTCAAATTTACAGTGTAATGGTGAGTACTTTCTTCTCTATAGCAAATAAAACATCAAATACAGAATGGTATAACCACACTTCTGTTACACTGGCCAAAATTTATCCTGACTGAATGCAGAATTATCAAAATATTTAAATTAGTATTTTCTCATGCACAGTTACGTTTGCAAAATGGTAATCTGGATTTGAGTACAGGCTATAAACAAAAACAAAGTTGCTGGAAAAGCTCAGCAGGTCTGTCAGCATCTGTGAAGAAAGAAGCATTAATTCTGTTTCTGGTCTGGTGACCCTTCCTCAGAACGGTTCCTCCAGTTCTGAGGAAGGGTCACGGACCTGAAATGTTAACTTTGTTTTTTTTTCACAGGTGCTGCCAGACCTGCTGAGCTTTTCCAGCAACATTGTTTTTGTTCCTGATTTACAGCATCCGCAGTTCTTTTGGTTTTTATTGAGTACAGGCCATGTTTTGCCCCTAGTTAAATTTTCTGTTGTATGGATTTGTGTGACATCTTGCCCCTTTAATAGTGAAGATCCCACAGTGGTTTTCTGCAGTTGTGGCTGGCAGCAAAGATTCCATGTCAGTTTACATCACCCTTCCAATTCTGCAGGCAGAAACCACTTCTGAACAGGATGCCAATTTGAATATAACGTTCTTTTAAGTGTTGAATAGGAAAGAAGTTGGCTTAGCTGAGGGAACTATACTTGTCTATTCATTCCATTTATAAAGTAGTGGTTCAGAATGCACCAGTGAATTTCATTGATTTTTTTTGTTTCTTTACTCAAGGACTGAACTGCAAGAACTCAGTGAAATTCTATTTGTTACGCTTGAGTTTACATCTCGTTCTGTGTCACAGTTTACTTTTACAGATGAAACCATTGAATGTGTGGATGACGTTTTCCTCATTCAGCTTGATGCAGAACTTCCAGAATTGAAGTACACCAAAGGTCAGTTATGTGCAAGGAAAATACACACTACGTGATAGGCTGAATCTTAAGTATTTTTGGCTAAGTCTAAGGTGCATGTTGATTTCTGGAGGGATTTCCGCTGCAAGGCCTAATGGGTATTCTTGCTGTATCTTATCAAAGTTACCTCATCAACTACCTTCCCTGCCCCTGTGGTGTCTCTAATGTCCAATTCTGGCCCCATCTTACCACACCCACTTCCTGGATATTCAGCAGATATCCACCGAAAGACCACCATTCCTTGTACCTACACCATCTTTGAAAAGTGGCAGTGCACCCAGACAAGAAATGGTAATCCGACACTGGCCCTCACCAGCAGCAACAATGCCATACTGCCCACAGCACACGGCTGGCACTCCATTCTCTCACCCTAGCCAGTGTTTAACTACCAGGCCACACTGCTTGCCTGTTCTTAACTGCATCCTATTTAAACATCCTTTGTGGGTTACCGTTACTCTGTCCCAATGTCTGCTGTAAACTCGTAGTTTGTCAGTGTCCAGTAGGGGAATATCACACAAGGAAATTCCAAAGAGGAGCTTTCAGTTATAGTCAACAAAAGCAAACACACATAAAACTAATAGAGGCTGACGTTCACCTCTGCAAAGCAAACCAGACGTCAGCACCAGGACTAATGAATATTTTACAGTCCATGATGATCTACGACACCCAGCTGTCCTCTATTGCAAACAGATGTCAATGTAGTTCTGTCTGGCCTGTAGTGCCTAACAGAGCTGAGTTCTGTCATGGACAATGATGGTTTCTTCCTCCCCAGTGTCCTGCTCCTCAAAAACTGCTTCCATTGCCCAGTTCCTCAGCATGCAGCACTTTGCCCCATTGCCTGCTCCAATTGTGCACAGCGGTGTAAGCCAGGATGATCAGGATGCCCTCTGAACAGACTGTACTGGATGGGCCCTCCAGATGGCTCCAGGCAGTGAAACCACAACTTCAGCAGCCCTGTCATCTGTTCCACCTCCCTGGTTGATGCACAGTCAGTGCGAGATCTGTGTTCTGTAACGTCCAGGGGTGAGCAATGGGGTCATGAACCATGGGTGCAGTGGATAGCCCTTAGTGACCAATCAACCCCACCCCCAGTAACCAGGTAAGATTCCTGATCCCTCAAAAATACCAGGTACTCGAGAGTGCTCAAGAGTGAAAGTCATGGCAGTTGCTACGTTTGCAGGCTCATATCTCCACAAAGTGCTAACAGTGATTACAGTTGACCTGAACATGAAGCAAATGGAACCCCTTCCTATTGATGAATTCCGCAGCATTGCAATGCGGCCTGGCACCCTGCATCTAGGGGCACTCGGCTATGTGACAGCTGCCCGGGCTACATCGCTGACCTTGTCATGAGAAATGCAATGGATTGGTGTGACTTTGCCTTGAGTCAATTCTGCCACGAATCTCACCGTAGCCCACGCTGCTTTGATTCTGCCCAATGTGGTCAGTGCATTTCACTCTTGTACTTCTGCATTTAAATACTTTTGAACCACAGATTTTTTTTATTCACGTGTGAGATCTGGACGTTGCTGGCTAGCCAGCATTTATTGCCCACCCATAGTTGCTCTTGAGAAGGTGGTGGTGAGCTGCTTTCTTGAACTGCTGTAGTCCATCTACTGTAGGTAGACCCACATTGCCACTGGGGGAGGGAATTCCAGGATTTTGATCCAGCAACAGTAAAGGAATGGTGATATATTTCCAAGTCAGGATGGGGAGTGGCTTGGAGGGGAACTTCCACGTGGTGATATTCCCATGTATCTGGTGCCCTTGTCCTTCTAGATGCAAGTGGTTGTGGTTTTGGAAGGTGCTGACTAAGGATCTTGTATGAATTTCTGCTGCTACTGAGTGTTGGTGGTGAAGGGAGTGGATGTTTATGGACGTAGTGCCAATCAAGCGGGCTGCTTTGTCCTGGATGGTGTCAAGCTTCTTGAGTGTTATTGGAGTTGCATTCTTCCAGGCAATTGGGGAGTATTCCATCACACTCCTGACTTTGCCTTGTAGATGGTAGACAAACTTTGGGAAGTCAGGAGGTTGAGCTACTTGCTGCGGTATTCGTAGCCTCAGGCCTGTTCTTGTAGCTGCTGTATTTATATGGCATCCAGTTGACTTTCTGGTCAATGGTAACCCTTCGGATGTTGGTAGTGGGTGATTCAGCAATGTTAACATTCAGCAAAAATGTCGAAGGGTGGTGGTTAGATGACCTCCAATTGGGGATGGTCATTCCTCCAGCATTTGTGTGGTATGAATGTTATTTGCCACTTTTCAGCCCAAACCTAGATATTGTCAAGTCTTGTTACATTTGAACATGGACTGCTTCAGTATCTGAGGAGTTGTGAATGGTGTGAACATTGTGCATTCATTGGTGAACAACCCTATTTCCAAACTTATGACGGAGGGAAGGTTACTGTAGTTAAGTTGAGATATACACTGGGAATAGCTATAAACTGTTACTTAATCAAGTTTCCTGTTTCACAAATTATGTATTTACAATTTAATTTTAAGAATTTTGTGATTTAGTTTATCGCATTTTTGAATAACATTTATTTCAAAGTCTAAGTGCAAGAACGAAAGAAGTGAGGTACAGGGTAATTGAAACCAGATCACAAAATAGAGAAGAAGTGTACACTTATTAAGTAGTCATAAAATGCCGCCAACTTGGCAAGGTGAAGTTAGTGTTACCAATGAATTTGCATTCTCCACTTTTGCACTTGGTGTGCTGACAAGTGCCATCTACTGGTAGAAAGCACCATATAGGTTTTGGTTTCTTTTGTTAAAGCTTTTGGAAAAAACCACCAGGGCAGACAGTCCTTCCTGAACAGTGATCTAATCCAATATGTGTAAGAGAGCAGGTGACTGCGAGCCCCTGGCATGTCAACGGAATAAAGTGCTGAGCTTTATAATAGGTGATGTAAACAATGAAGGCTATTTCAGAGATAGTAGGAACTGCAGATGCCAGAGAATCTGAGATAACAAGGTGTAGAGCTGGATGAACACAGCAGGCCAAGCAGCATCAGAGAAGCAGGAAGGCTGACGTTTCGGGCCTAGACCCTGCTTTCTGAAGAAGGGTCTATGCCCGAAATGTCAGCCTTCCTGCTCCTCTGATGCTGCTAGGCCTGTTGTGTTCATCCAGCTCTCCACCTTGTTATCAATGAAGGCCATTTGCTTGTTTTTCAGTTCAGAATAATCAAAGATTGAGTTTAGTTTAGAAAACCCAGGGATTGAAAGCTTTGAAGTTTGGAGGAAGCCTGATTGAGGTCAAAAAGCAAATTTAGTTTATTCACCTTGCAGGGGCAAGTGACTATTCAGGATAACTACAGTCACCTCAGTAGAAAGATAGAGTTTGTGCAACTTCCAAATCAGGAGTGTTTGATTAGAAATGTGCAGGTTAATAAAAGCTAAGAATATTTAAGCTGTGTTTTGTGAACAATCATGCAAGGAGACTCCACAGTTTACAGGATGGCAACTGAAAGAATCAGTTAAATAGAATTTAAAAATCTGATGTACAGGGGTAGTTTCTCTGGATTTGAGTCTCTGAAACAAATAGTGTTGGAGAACAGGTTGAAACTTTGTTCTGCTGTGTGTTTTAAGACCTTTCTAACTGTTCCAAAGATAGCTCATGTTTTTGTTTATTTTTGTCTAATAAACTGATTTTCTATGAAAGAAACTCTGCAGCTTTGTGTGTCTATGTTTCAGTAACTGACCATCACATGAACTAAAATGTTTAAGACTGATATATCAAGACAGATTTCATTCTGAAACCTGACATTTCCAGTAGTACCATGGGATCATAACCTCAGTTTAAAATCAATTACCAGAAGCATCCTGAGGTGCTTACCTTTTTAATCTCTCAAAATTTTGAAACATTCAGAAGATTGGGGTACTTTGTTTAGTTGCAGTGTGCCAAAATGTAATAGGTGCAGTAATGCAGTATAAATCTATACAATGAAGGCTACACTCCTGCTGCTCATATTGTGATTAATTCAGCTCCGTATTGCTGTAGAGTTCTTATAAAAAAACAAAAGTTCACTTATGGATCTTTCAAATTATAGTTAGCATTCCCTGTCAAACCCCTCATCTTGCCTGACTGCTTTTGGTTTTTGAATTGGGATTAACCATTCCTCAGATGGTGTGAACAAGCAACTAACTGGTTCAGATTGGACCCGTTCACTCTAAGTTGGGTTCTGCAGGCCCTTATGGTGCGGTGGTGGTGTCCTTTTCTCCGAGTCTGGAAACCTGGGTTCAAGTTCCACCTATTCCAGAACATCACTGAACAGATTGATCAAAAATATCTGTAAATCACTTTGTGGGAGGAGCTAACCATTTATGGTTCAATTCAGTCACGGTTGTTCAGTGCCAAGCTCTATGTAGTGAGTAGAAATGTGTAATTACTCCTAGGGGGCTCTTGTGGCACAGTGTTAGGCCTCCTGTTTCAGAGATAGGGACACTAAGTACCAGTCCCACCTGTGCTAGAAGTGTGTAATCACATCCCCAACTAGGTTGATTCAAAAATATCCCTCAGTCAGGTTCTGGGTAGTTCTAAAGCGATCAAGCCATTGTAAATAATATATACTGCACCTGGGGAGATCTATTTTAAACATGATCTACCTCGGGCCCCTAATATAGTGTACCTGTGACTGAAATCATTTTTAATTGGGAGAAAACTTAAACCTCGTAATAACATCCTGAATCAAATGATCTATTTCAACTCTGACTGTTTTGTAAATAAATGTAGATTTGAAAATTTGCTGAAAGTTTCTTTTTCACGAAGATGATGCTACTTAGAAGTTTGAGTTTGGGTTTGATACCTTTCCAAGACTGTTCAGACAGAGATGGTAACTACACTGTGTACAATTTCACTGTTTCTTACAGAAGTCACATTGACAAGAAAGAGGGCAGCATCAGAAGGAATAGGGGTACAAATTGCAGTTGCATACAAAAAGGTAAGAATCAAAATATTGTCAGCAATCAAAAGCTTCAGTTATGCTCTTAAAAACAGCCAATGTCTGAATACCTGCAAAGTAGAATTGATTGCACCACAAAGAATCTCGATAGTACAATTGATGAAATGCTGGAACTGCATGACTTGCATTAATAATTGTTTCCATCAAATAGATTACGTGCTGACAGGGTGGAAGAGTCTGAGAACTGAAATGACTGTGTGTTAGCTCTCTGACCCCCACTGCCTGATAGTGGTTTCCAACTAGAAGCACAAAATCATCCTTGTGTGATTAAATACATCAGGGTCCTTGATTTTGCTGTAAAGAAAGGGATACTATTGGTCACAAAGCAGAAAGTAGCATTTCGACATATCGAAATGAGAAAAAGGTGATATTGCTTGACAGTCATCATCCTCATAAATAAAGGGCACTAATAGGAGCTTCCCATCATTTATCTAGTTGCACAAAGTGTGATTATTTTGTTTACAATAGATTTTATATGCAAGATTTACCATAACAGCCAATATGCATGGCGTCATTCTGAAGAGATAAGAGAAGCTTTACATTGCTGCATTTTTTCACAAGGAAATGAATCTCACTTTTCTTGGGTGAAGAATGGTGGTGCAGTATGGAATGTTGTATGCTTGCACTCATTCCACAGCCGGAGAATGCCACACGTTTACCTAGTTAGGGTGTTCTGGAAGCACTATCTAGAATTTGGTCATATTACCAGTCTCACATACTCATCATATCTGATAACACCACCCTTTAATGGGAGGTTGCCATCAGATGGTAAATATGAAGAAAAATGACTCACCTAAAACTGAGTCAGATGCTGGCAATTACTATTCATCTGTGTCCTGCTATCAAACTTGGCACAGACCCAGTACCGGCCCCTTTACTGGCTGACTTTTACCTTCTTTATGGTCTGTATTGTCTCATGGAGCATGGCTGGCACTGATTATAGAAATATCATGATGTCTACTTCCATTGAAATCAACTGAAATGAAAACTGGGCTGTTTTTAAAGCAATCAGCCTGCAACATTAGCTTTATAAATGGCCAGTGATTTTGAAATTCTACCATATTGGCAATTACAGAAAAAGGCATTTCACAGAACCACAGAATTGTTATTGTGCTGTAACAAAGAGGCCATTCAGCACGTTTTAACTTGGTGGCAAACACCTGCCTTTTTCCCCACAATCCTGCATATTGTTTTCACTTAAATAATCATCCAATGCCCTTTTGAATGCCTTGGTTAAATTTGCCTCCACCATCTTTTCGGGCAGGGCTTTCCTGGCCGTAACTACTTTCTGTGACAAAAAGCTTTCTTTTCTCACTTCACGTTTGCATCTTTTAAAAAATACTTTAAAACTGTGCACTCTGGTTCTCTATTTTATGGGCAGGAACAGTTCCTCTCTGTCTGTTCTGTCCAGACCCACGTGATTTTACAAAACTTCTTTCAAATCTCTGCTCAGCTGTCCTCTCCAAAAACAACGTCTCAACTTCTCAAAGTTTTCATCATAGTTGAAGATTCACATCCCTGGAACCATTCTCATAAACCCTCTTTTGTATTCTCTCCAATACATTTGCACCCTTTTGTAAAGTGTGGTACCCTAAATTGTATACAATATTCCAGCTAGTGTCTAAACAGTGTCCCACATAAATTCAGCACAGTGGCTCAGTGGTTAGCACTGTTGCCTCACAGTGCCAGGGACCTGGGTTCGATTCCAGTCACAGGCGACTGTCTGTGTTGTTTGTGCATTCTCCCCGTGTCTGCATGGGTTCCTCTGGATGCTCTTGTTTCCTCCCACAACCCAAAGGTTAGGTGGATTGGCCATGCTAAATTACCCATAGAGTCCAGGGATGTGCAGGCTAGATGGGTTAGCCATGGGCAATGCAGTGTTACAGGGATAGGGTTGGGAAATGGGTCTGGATGGGATGCTCTGAGGGCCAGTGTGGAATTGATGGGCCAAATAGCTTGATTCTACACTGTAGGGATTCTATGATTCTATTTATAGTTCTCTCTACCCATCCTGCCAGCTTTAATGAATTATGCACATAGACACTCGGGTCAGTCTGCTCCTGCACACCCTTGAGAATAGTAACGTTTATCTATACTGACTCCCCATATCTTTGTACTTAAATGCATCAGCTCAGACTTCCCTGAATTGAATTTCACCTGTCACGTATTCGCCCACTCCACCAACTTCTCATTGTCCTTTTGAAGCTCTGTCCTGTTCTCCTCACGGTTCACAGTTCCTCCAAGTTTTGTGTCATCTCCTGCACAACCAGACCTAGTTAATATATTTACATCAAGAAATGCTGAAGAACTAAACTGCATTTATTTCAACGTAAGGGGTCTTACAGGGTCCAGTACCGATCCCTGTGGAACTCTACTACATACCTTCCTCCAGCCCGAAAATACTCATTAACCATTAATCTCTGTATTCTAGCCTTTGGCCAATTTTATGTCCATATCACTTACGCCCATATTATTCCACGAGCTATAACTTTCCTCATTAGCCTGTGTGGCACTGTTTTGAACACTTTTTGGAGGTTCATATTCATCACATCAACAGCCCCACCCTCATCATCAAGACTGAATATAATTATTGTTATAGGGGACTATCCATTCAGGGGCATAGACAGGAGATTCTGTGGCAGTGAGCATAAATTTAGGATGGTTTGTTGCTTTCCTGGTGCTAGGATTAAGGACATCTCTAAACATTTCAAGCAAATTGTTAAAGGTGAGATTGAGAAGCCAGAAATTATTGTACACATTGGTAGGCATGACATTTTTAGGGAAAATATTAAAGCAGTACAGAGTGAATTTAAGTGGTTAGGTAGAAGATTAAAGAATAGAACACTGAAAGTAGTAATTTCTAGTTTACTCCCAATGCCAAACTCAAACAAGGGAAGGAACTAAAGGTTAAAGGAGATAGGTTAATGGATGAAGAGCTGGTGTATTGTTCAGAGATTCATATTTTTGGACAATTGAAATGTCTTTTGGAATAGAAAAGACCTGTTCAAAAAGGATGGGCCTAACCTAAACTGGAAAGGGACCAATATCTTCACAGGTAGATTCGCTCATTCCATTAAGGGAGACTTTATACTGATAGTGGGGGGGGGGGGTGGAGGAATTCTAAGTAGTAGTATAAGAAGAAGAATTGTTCTGAATGTGAGGAGAGCACATCCATTAGAAAAGAAATATAAGCGATAGAGTATGTAGTAGTGCTGAAGAACTAAACTGCATTTATTTCAATGTAAGGAATCTTACAGGTAAGGCTGATGAACTCCGGGCATGTTTAAGAACGTGGGGTTGGCACATTATAGCTATTAGAGAAACTTGGCTGAGAGATGGACAAAAGATAGCAAGAATTGCACATGCTGGAGTCAAAGATAAGTGTGGAGCTGGAGAAACATGGCAGGCCAGGCAGCATCAGAAGGGTCCTGACCTGAAATGTCAACTTTCCTGCTCCTCTGATGCTGCCTGGCCTGCTGTGTTCCTCCAGCTCCACATTCTGTTATCTCTGAGAGATGGACAAGACTGGCAACTCAATGTTCCAGGTTTTAGATGCTATAGGAAGCATAGAAAAGGAGGCAAGAAAGGAGGGGAAGTAGTGTTTTTGATTAAGGAGTACATTACTTCTGTAATGAGGGAAGATATTTCTGAAAAATCGTTCATTGAAAATGAATGGGTAGAAGTTACAAATAAGAAAGGAAAGATCACTTTGATGGGATTGTACTATAGGCCCCCCAATAATAAGAGGTAAATTGAGAAACAAATATGTCCGGAAATCTCCGATATATGTAAGCGTAATAAGGTTGTAATAATGGGGGTTTTAATTTTCCAAACATTGACTGGGGCTACTACAGTGTTAAAGGTTTGGATGGTGAAGAATTTGTCAAATATATTCAAGAATTTTTTTTTATCAAAATGTGGATATTCCTACTAGAGAAGGAAGAGAATTAGACCTTCTTTTGGGCAATAAGTCGGGGCAGGTGACTGAAGTAAAAGTGGGGGAACAATTTGGGTCTAGCCGTCATAATTCTATTAGTTTCAAAATGTTTATGGAAAAGAATAAGCCTTCCATAAAAGTTAAAGTTTTTAATTGGATGAAGGCAAATTTTAAAGGTATGAGATAAGAACATTCAAAAGTTGATTGTAGTGGACTGTTGCAAGATTCTAGTCAAGAATAAAAGAGAATCTTGTTTTAGATGTAGACAACTTGGTTCAATTGAATCTCTTAATCAATATAAAGAGTGTAGGGGCATTCTTAAAAAAAGAAATCAGGGAGGAAAAAAGATAGCATTGGCAGGTAAGGTTAAGGATAATCCAAAGAGATTCTAAAATACGTTAAGAGCAAGAGGGTAAGGAGAGAGAGGGAGGGCCTCTTAAAGATCAAAGAGGTCGTCTTTGTGTTGAACCCCTAAATGAATATTTCGCATCAGTTTTTAATGGAGAAGGAAATGGAGTCTAGAGAATACAGAGCAATAAACTTTGATGTTTTAAAAACATTTCACATTACAGAAGAGGAATTTTGGGAGGCCTTAGAGAATATATAGGTGGACAAATCTCCGGGACCTATTCTAATGTATCCCAGAACATTGTGGGAAGTAAGGGAGGAAATTGTGAGACTGCTTGCAGAAATAACTTGCGTCATCTATAACTACGGGTGAGGTGCCCAATGATTGAAGGGTGGCTAATGTTGTACCTTTGTTTAAGAAAGGTTGTAAGGAGAAACCTGGGAACTATAGACGTGTGAGTCTGACTTCAGCTGTGGGTAAATTGTTGGAGGTGATTACGAAAGATAGGATTTATGGACATTTAAAGAGGCAAAAATTGATTAGGGATAATCAGCATGGTTTTGTGCAAGGAAAATCATGTCTCACAAACTTGATTGAGCTTTTTGGGGAAGTTACCGAAAATATTGATGGCAGTACAGTAGACGTTGTTTATTTGGATTTTAGTAAAGCCTTTGACAAGATTCCATATGGTAGACTAATCAGCAAAGTTAGGTCACATGGGATTTAGGGTTAGCTTGCCAATTGGCTTAATGGCAAGAGACAGTAATAGTGGAGGGTTGCTTTTCAGACTGGAGGCCTGTGACCAGCGGTGTTCTACAGGGATCGGTTCTGGGTCTTCTTCTGTTTGTCATTTATATAAATGACTTGGATGAGTATATAGAAGGTATAATTAGTAAGTTCGCAGACTATACCGAAATTGGTGGCATAGTAGACAATGAAGAAGGTTTTCTCAGGTTACAAAGGCATCTTGATCAAATGGGTCAATGGGCCAATGGGCTGAAAAATGGCAGATGGAGTTCAATCTGGATAAATGTGAGGTATTGCATTTTGGTACAACAAACAAAGGTAGGGTCTTGTGTAGTGTTGTAGAATAACGGGACCCAGTAGTGCAGGTACATAATTCTTTGAAGTTTGCGTCACATATAGACAGGATGGTTAAAAAGGCATTTGGCACACTTGCCTTCGTTGCTTAGTGCTTTGAGTATAGGAGTTGGGAAGCCATGTTGAGGTTGTCTAGGACATTGGTGAGGTCTATTCTAGAATCTTGTGTCCAGTTCTGCTTGCCCAGTTATAGTAAGGATATTATCAAGCTGGAGAGGGTTCAGAAGAGATTTAGCAGGATATTACCAAGTATGGAACAAAAACAAAGTTGCTGGAAAAGCTCAGCAGGTCTGGCAGCATCTGTGGAGGAGAAAACAGAGTTAACGTTTCGGGTCCGGTGACCCTTCCTCAGAACTGATGGTAGCTGGGAAAACGTCAGTTTATTATGCAGAAAATAGGGAGGTGGGCGGAGTAGGGAGTAAATGATAGGATAGAGCCCAAAGAGAGACAAAGACAGTTGGACAGACAAAGGAGTTGCTAACGATCAGGCTGGGAGGGTGAGTAGTTGTTAATGGGGACTGTTAGTGACTAACAACAGGGGGTGTGTAGTGGCAGGCTATGTGGTAACAAGGCCTGGTGTGTGGGGTGGGGGCTGGGACATGGGTGAGTTTAGGCACTAAAATTATCAAACTCAATATTGAGTCCGGAGGGCTGTAGGGTCCCCAAGCGGAAAATGAGGTGTTGTTCCTCCAGGTTGCCATGGGCTTCGCTGGAACACTGTAGCAAGCCGGAGACAGAGATGTTGGCCAGGGAGCAAGGCGGTGCATTGAAGTGGCAGGCAACAGGTAGTTCAGGGTTAGTAGGAACTGCAGATGCTGGAGAATCCGAGACAACAAGGTGCAGGGCTGGATGAACACAGCAGGCCAAGCAGCATGCTGCTTGGCCTGCTGT